CACTGCCTACCTCCGAATATTGACCTTGAAATGAGTCAATGGCTATCGTTATGTAATAATTTTTTTTCACTGTATGATATGTAAGAGCATGACTAGGAATATCCGAAAACCATTGTTCGCTCACCGACTCGTTTTCTCACTTCTCTTTATGTTCGAGATCCCTTAAACTTTTGTCCCGCTACAGTGGAATTGATAGAGTTGTTTCAGTTGACTTCTTCATTTCCAAGCATCTTGACGCTTGTGATACATTCATACAGGATAACACGTGATCAAGGACACTGTCTGCACCAAAATATCGCGAAAGCCCTGTCAAATCCCCGAACCGGTTCTAGATATCAACTGCTCCCCGTGCGCGGCCTTCCACATACCGAAACAGTGTAATTCCATATTCTAGCTCGATTGGCAGTAAATCTTCAGAATACTCTCACCCACCTCAGGGCAAAACTCTTGCCCTAATTTTTCTCTCATTCACTAAAGTGTAGAATTTCTTATATTGTCTTTTTTGTTTTCAATTCGGTTTTATCTATCCACTGTAAAAACCGTAAACTGCTGAAAATTCACCCTTTTGGGTGCATAAAGCTTTTCTTGACTTCGAGGAGATGATAAACCCAATTGAAACGCGAAGTTTACTCACAATCTGATGTGCGGGTTTGGAACAGATAAGGTCTACTTGATTAGTTGTAAGCGTCTAACTATTAGTGAAAACCAATGCTTACAGAATTGAATTAGTAATCGATTCGATTGTGAGCGGGGTTTACGATTGTCATCGGCCATTTTAGTTCACAAATCACATGTCATCGCTCTGAACTGTAGAAATTCTTGACTCTTAGTTTGTATTATCAACCCGTGAATTGATTTCATGCAAGGACGAAAATGACTACTAACCAATCTATCTCAACCAGATCTTGTTATTTCGTAAAGTGGATTTTGTAGACAATGTGTGCCTGTATCAGGTTCAATGCAACTTGAAATTTTCCGTCTCTCGGACCAATGTGACTACTGTCAGCAATGTTGGTACTAAATTAATGATAAATACCAAGAAATAGACTAGTACAATCTACGGATGTGCATATGAATGAATGAATAGATCACACTTTCACAGGAGTAGTTTATCGACCGAAGAATGTTGCGATCCGAATCCGGGTTGGAGATCAGCTAAAAATGAGGACTAAATATGCTTTGTTTCGGTTGCACGGTTACCAACTGATTTACGGTGAATCATTTCCCTATGCCTCTCCTGTTAATCAATGCTTTTCATATGACTGAATTTTTCGTCACTTTCCAGCTAGTTGAACCCAATTCCGCCTCACATAAACAGGTAAATCCTCTGTTTCGACTCTCAGCTCAGAGGTTCACGATTTGACTCTCTTCGAGGACGTAAAGATAATGGGTACTGCTGCCGATTCGCAACGTGAAAACCACAGCGGTCGAGTGATCACAGTTTTACACAAACATAACATGTAGGAAGCAACAATATATTTTAACTGACCATCCTTCCTATTTGCAAGTCCAATCGCGCAGTTTCAACAGTGCTCATTCTTGGTGCTTTGGGTCAGTCAAGGTCTCTGTCAACAGCGTGCTTGATGGTAACGTACGAAGTTCGAAACCTAGCATTCCCACTTGCTTGTACTGAATAGCATCTCTGTGCTCGGTCACTTTTGGCTTCCTGAGAATGCAGTGCGCTATTCTGTCCCTTTGCATAAATCGATTTGCTTTTCTATAACAATTTTGATTTTATAGATAATAACTAGGGCCTAGAGTTCACTTATTGCTTTAAGTTACTATTCAAATGATCCTCAATAAGGCCATCAAGGTAAGTTTCTTTTAGGAATTCCAATTTGAATAAACGGCACGATTTTCCTGAAGGATTTTCTTCGTGAATTTCTTCACTTTTCGGAGTTCTGATTGAGTTCACTGAAGCCTTGGAAAAAATGGATAGTTTTCATCCAAGATCTAAACATCATATAATATTTGAATCTTTTTGCACACAGTATTGATAAAATAGCGTATTGGTTAAAAACTCAAGATAAATCCATTCTTGTGGGAAACACTGACTCTACAAGCACGTTCTGGGTGATTTATTCACAGACTTACATATTTCGCATTTGGCTCACAGCTATCCTTCGGACTTTACCTTCACACACACTCCTCGGTTCATTCAGTCAACCATACACTCGGAAGCACTAGACTCGAGTTGCGTTCTTATTGGAGCTCATCAGTATTGCATATCCACCGTCCGGGATTTGAACTCCGGACCCATCGCATGGAACGCGTGTGCGTCATCAATAAAAATCAGTTATCCTACACCACTACTCACAAGTAACTCTGAGCCAAATGCGAAATATCAATCCAGCCTTGTAGGTTCGTTGGCGAATTAGCCCGTACTTGCGTGGAAGTCCTAACTTGGTGGGAGGTTTTCGATGGGAGTTAACAGATTATCATCTGTGTCTCCGTTTCTGTCGGGCCAAGTGAACTGACTATCACTGAAGAGGACACCCGAGCAAAAATGAATTGGAAACATCACCGGATGCTGCTTATACTTTATCCAACACATACATATGCATTAGTTCGGATCATGAAAAGGCTGGACCGCGTGGGACGGCGGATGGAAAACTGTAACTGATGTGGTGGTGGTCTTGAAAGATAGATTGCTTCAACGAATCCACTATTAGCTAAGGTCCGATTCTCTCCTACTCGTTCCACGCCATATTGTGTGGATGCATATTTATATTGATTAATGTTTAACCTTGACATGATATCCTCTTTCTTAACTGACTAAATGCAGTTCTTATACAACGGTTGTGCGGTGCACTTTAGTGAGCCCCAAAAACGTATGCGTTATTGATGATCGATCTTCAATATGTGCTTCATACTGCGGAAAAAATGTTTTATCAATGAATGAGCACATAGAGAATTTGGAACGCTGGACTATGTGTTCTAATTTGGTCACCATTGTAAGTTTCCCATAATCCCTGATAAGAAAAAGGGCCTGAAACTCGTATTATGTGACTCATGATTTCACATCCAGACTTGGGGTATCAACTATCGATGGGATTTGTGATCTTGATCGTGGATAACTTTCTCCTATCGCTCCGAAGTTAGACTATTCAAATCCCATCACGGATGCCCAACTTTCCTGTTTCTCACTTTATCACAATCATACAATACAATAGATCCAGCAATGGATAACCCCTTAAGGTTAAGAAGAGTTATCGCTCAATTATATATAATCAGTAAATGGAATATTAATTACCAAGTAGTCAATAATTAAGTTCCTATTCCACTGAGATGTTGTATGTAAGTTCATGTCCACTATTGCTCCGTCAATCGAAAACAGGATTATTGTTTTTCCATACTGTTACATTTTGCATATTCAGACTGAGCGCTCCACTCAGTCACATTCGTCTTGTTCATTGAAAACAATGAGAAAAGTATGATGAATAATATCATGGCATATTAGATGGGTAAAAAATATGAGCAACTCGATTCAACTCTGGTGACACATTGATGCTCAGTGAAGGGGGAGGGGATGTGGGAGAGGATCCCACTGCCCGTTTTGAGCATCATCATCAGCTCAGTTTACTATCTGGTAATTAAAAGAAAATTAGTGATAAAAACTTCTGATAAATAAACCTCGATTCCGACCACACTGATGTATTTGATCTGTGTTTGATCGCTTAGTTGACAATCGAATAGCACATCATCTTAACAACTACTTATATGACTTTAAGTTTATCTATCTGAAAACTTCCAGCTGTGTGACCGGTGAAAAATAAACATCTCCCTAACATGTCGACAAAGTACTGAAAATCGGTTCTCGTAGCTCGGATGAACTGAAATCTATTTCACCTAGAAATTTGCAAACGTTTCATCACCGTTCAAGGTAACGTCCTCATTGATATCACCATGTCAACTCAGTTGATGATGAAACGTTTAGGAACAAATTGCCAATTGCTCAGCGAACAGGCAAAATGGAATCTTCATAACATGTGGACTATTCGAAATACGACGGTGATATTGAGAGCAAAATTGACTGAGTGATCCAGTTGAATAGGCTGTTCAACATTGATGAGTTTTATATTTTATGTAAATCTGCGAAACTTTGAAGAATACACATAATTCAGGTTCAGTTCGAGTGTGATATAATGCATTACTTTGGATCAATAAAACTTTACGGGGGTCATCCTAAAATTTTTTCAAATCAAATATTGCGGGGATATTGGTTTCATACGAGAATACAATTATAGTCTGATCCCCCAGACTCACCTGTGCTGGCCCCATGGCGGCCACATTGACCGAATCCCGGCCAATCATATTTGACCCTGTATATGCAGCAAACGTTTGTGGCACGGTGGTGGGCGATAGAATCCGATTCGGAGTACGTTTTGAGTGGGTTTTTAATTTTGTCGATCCAAATTTGGTCTGAGCAAATGTGGCCGCGGTGAAACTGGGTGTAGATACGGATTTTTGCACAAAATGATTGTTTCCTGTGGTATTAGTCAGCTGTGATAATGTCGGTTGGGCATAGACCGTGTTCAGTCGGGACTGAACTGGTCCGTTCAATGTTGGATTGCCACTCAGATCGAATTTGTTCAAAGCCGATCCCATCGCGTTCCCGTTACTATGCAGATTACCAACTGAAAGTGCCGGGTAATCATGATACATGGATAGATTGGATGGATCTGTTTGAGGTGGATTGGAGGAAGATCGATTCAATAATGGAAGAGGAGTTCGTGTTTTCTCACCAAATGAATTCACTTGAGATGTGGTTGTCAAGTTGTTAGATAAATCTCCGTTCATAAGAGTGAGTAAGCTGTTCTCCGCATCGGTATTATCTGTCGAACCGGGCCATAGCATAGTTCCTGCGGCTAAACGATTGTCTGATCCGTGTAAAACCTCTAATCCATTGTTTGACACTGCTTTCAACTCAGCATCACGAAACAACAGATGCGTCAAATCCGTGTTGTCAGCATTCGATGCGTTCATGATCAAACCATTAAAGGGTAGATCCGTCGATGGTTTTTGAATCAAATCTGACGGCAAATTCGATACAAGATTATCCTCCGTGTCAACTAGAACACTCAAAGCAGCTGCTGTGGCTAAATTATCCCCGTGCTCAGTATCCGGTCTCAGGGGTTTATTCTGTCCGTTCATTGTCTCGGTCCACTGACTTCCACTGTTGTTACTGTTACCAAACCAACTGTCTTGAAAGCAATACAAAACCTGATGAGTAATTTGACTGGAAGTAGGTGTTAAATTTGTTGAGGAGATTGAAGAAGAGGCCGACGAACAACCGGAAGAGGACAGTGATACGGAAGCCGAAGGCCACATTGATACACCCGGGTATCGATTAAATTCTTGTGTAGTGAACTGAGGCTGATGATACTGACAGGCCACGTGTCCCGGATCAATGCTTAGCACAAGACTTTCTGGTAGACAAGCTTGAATCTCACTCCAGTCTAAACCACTCACAGCTGCCGCTTCGGGTAGAAGTAGATCAACTTGGGGCCCGCCCACATTTAGACATCGATAGGCTGAATCTCGCATGGGGTCTGTGGGAAACCAGTGTTGTTGATATTTTGCATGCAAATATCGCTCCAATTCTTCACCGAAACTGTCCACCCGACGTCGGGGAAGTTTGGTGTACAAATGGGATAAAATATAATTAACTGCAATCGAAACTTCCACAAGCATTTCTTAGTTGATTGAAAATATAAGATCACAGATGATGGAACGTTTAAAACATTCTCTGGAATACAATCTGCAATAGAAAGAAAGAGATTGGTACAAAATCTCGAATGAACAAGACCATACTAAACAATTTCTTTCGATTTGACGGCCATTCAAAAAGTTTATTTTCATGAAAAGAGGGCAAATCATCTTCTACTAAAGTACCTCAAAGCATAAACGGAAGAAATGGCTCTTGATAATTGGTCTCGTCTTTAGTATAATACTGTAAATTATCTAAACTGTCTTACTTTCGACCGACTTACTTAACATAAAACAGCTGATTGCTTTTGAAGCAACCCAGCCCACAGCCGTTTAACTGAAGGTCAATGCGGGCAGATCGATAACCACCGGGGATATGCATTCAAAATCGCATAAACCTCATTCTCTCTTTCAGCTGACTCTCTGATTGTGTTTGCCCGTTATAGAACACACGAAGATGAGATACGAAACAGTGTACAACTATGTTTCACGAAAAATTACTTACTCACCTGATGTGGGTCCCACTTGCTTTCGGCAGTGTAGCGACCACACTGAGGACAGTTGCTGTATTGCAATCTATTCCGCTTCAGGTCAACGAACGTACCAACCAGCTGAGTGATCAATGGGAGAAAAATTTCCTGGTCGGGATTAACAACCGATTGGTGGAATCCAACTGACTGTTTCGTGTGTGTTTGTATGTGTGTGTGCCTCTGTATGTAGACCCAAGTGCGGGTATGTACTTGCGGGTTTGGGAAGCAGTGCGCACACTCACGTCAGTACATGTGCGTCGGTGTGTCCATCTGCGTCCCCATTTGCGCGTACCCGAAAACAACACCCCCGCGATGGCAAGGGCAAACCGCTTGTTTCAGCCACCCACGCTTGACTGTTGCCGAAAATAAGTGAAGGCAATTGACGGTGTGTGTGTGTGTGTGTGTGTAGGAAACGCCCAGCAAAAGTAAAAATCGGCACTGAGATGCTTACACCGAACAGCGGGCTGGTGACAAACTCCCCATCTGGTCACGACAAGATAGGTTATGTAGGTTACCCATGCATTTACCCACACATATATAGGCACATACAAATGATCACTTTTTCTATTTTCGATGAAATTAGTTGTGCCATTGTTAGTGCAATTTTGTCCGAAGAAACAGTTCACCTTCAGGGATTAGGGCAACCAGTTGTTACATACGGGTGCGGGAAACTCAACTGTGTCCAGTCTTTAAAATCGTAGACAATTTTTCAGTCGCCTGATCAGAGATAGATAGTTGTGCATTCATCCCCATTAAAACGTGAATCCAATCGATCACACAATCAGTGACGTAACCGTTATCGAGCGGAAAAGAGGACACTATGTAGAAACACATGTAAATACAAAATGGACGTTTAATGCTTCACTGTTGACAACTTGTTCGTATCGAATAACTGTTTGTGTCATAATTTGCAGCAATAAAATAGAAAGCAGATTACATACGACGATGGTGTTGGCTTCATCGGTTTTGCATTCATCTGTATTGAGTAAAACTATTCCAAAATGTTATTCAAGATAATCAGCGACGGATTTCCGAGTTATCATCTCTGATTCAGCTCAGGCGTATCCACGAAGTGGTATTGCGATGGACTGTACTATCTTTATCGAACTACTCGGGAACAGAGAGGTGTTCTCCATCGAATGCACTGAAACAGGAGAACTGCGTGGACTATAGATTGTATGGGTGCAATATAAATCAAATGGAATATCAAGCCAAACCATAGACGTAATCATTTTGGGTAGGAAATTAAAGTTCGAATAATGAGAGCTAGAGTCCCTTATGTCAAGCTGAGATACCAGTGACACCATCAAAACGTCCGCTTTCCCTTCACGTCAGTGGTCCAGATCTCTAGAGTTCGCGATGTTTTGCTTCATGTCTGAGAGACCTCTCTTCCACCTTGAGGACGCTGATCGATGTTCGGTAATCCATCACTGATGTCATCGGAGCATTGTTCGTGTAATTTTTAATACATACCTAAGTGTGAGGAACAGTAGACAGAGCGAACCCCATAGTCACGAGGACCTGCTGCTCAGTGATGGCGACGGGCAACCTAAGCCCCGGAATTTGGAGTGGCGAACC